GTTGCGAATATCGAACTACTTGCTATATCGAACTGATCGTAGCGTTTCCTGCTGTTCGTTATAAACGGGTTTGACTCTAATTTGATATACAAAAATATGTTAAATTAAGCTCGAGTTGATATTTCCGCACGTCGCTGCTAAAACCGAAGGCCACGACAAACAGGACCTTACCAAATAAAGCCTCTAAGAGCCCTAAATAGAGCAAAGCTTAGCGCCAGGCTACGACCTCCACACATCACCCCAACAAAACACGAAAATATTAAAAAAAAAAATGAAAGAATGGAAAAAGCGAGGCACATAAATAAAAACTCTCGATCACCAGAATAAAGTTAAGCAAGCAACAAAAAAGAAACCTCACTAAATCCTGGCAACAAAAAACAAAAGGCAAAAAACAAAAGGCAATGCAATAACTGTCAATGAAAAAGATAAACAAAGGTAAGGTGTCCAAAGTGTGATTGCTCAACAGTTGTTGTGGACAAAGGACACAGAGACTTTTTTTTGCTTATTTTATTTTGGGGCTAAGGTTACTGGGCCACAGCAGTGTTCGGGGAAAAAGTGCTTAGTTGTATGTTGGTATTATGTATCACTTGCCAGAAATGAAAGTATCTGGGATCGAAAATACATATTTAGAATATCTTTTTTTACCACCGTTTAGGTGGTAAAAAAGGATGCGACTATCCTTTTTTTATTCTTTATCTGTTGATAAAAGCTACTTTTATCAAATACACCATGGCAACGTGATCGTCAGCTCCTGCAAAGAGGCTTTTTTTCATTTGCTTTGCTTGCAGCACGGCCGCATCGCGTGGCACTTTCAGACCAGCAGCGCGATCAGATGTTGTTACCTAAACCTTCAAGTAAAGGTAACATCTGAATAAAAAAGATTAGCGAGATGTTTTGCATAATCAACACTTTCAGTTTTCTTAGTTTTGTTGTTTTTCCTCTAGCTTTTAAAGCAAGAAAGTTCAACTTCATACGTCTGTTAAACACAAGTGCTGGGGAAGTAACTGTTCGGCTTTCTTAAGCGCACGGAACTTGAACCTTTCAGCGCAGGACAAAGGCAGAGGCAACCCAGTAAATACAGCAGTAACAAACAAAGAGCATCAGAAAAAGTTCCTAGTTTATTCGTGTGTAAAGTCAAGTACCCAGAGACCGGTTCGCACAGAGAACACCAGTTAAAACAAAATTGGCCACGCTGCTTATGGAAGTGATCGTTTAAGCATCGCCATGGCTTGAGCCCATTGCTAAAGTTCCAACGAAACCAGCTGCGCCGTAAGTGGAGGGAGCCTAAAGGAATCCGTATGGCCGCATTCGTCCAAGCCCCCTCAAAAACAGTTTGCTTTATTGAATACACTAAATATTCCTGAAACCTCGCATAAATATTGTAACTTAGCTAATCATATTACAGTCGAACCCAAGTACTGTAAACGACTTATTTTTTGCGGGCTCAATATTTCGTGATTTGGGTCAAAGGTGAAGTTTTTTAATAATTCGCGGGTCCTAATTTTCGCAAAGGCCATGGGATCTCAATATAGATTCCAATGTGTTTACATTTTAACGGAATTGTTTGTGGGACCTATTTTTCGCGACTTTTAAGCGATTCGCGAAAATTGGGTCCTCGCGAAAATTAAGTTTACAATATATTGAAAACGGTTAATTCAGACTATCCTTTGTATGAAACTGTTTCTGAACAGACTAGTAGCTGCAATGAAAATGCATAGCAAAGTATGCGGCTACATCGACCGAAAACTGCATTATCTCAATAGATTGAACTGCCAAGAGCGTCATTTTGCTCTGCAAGCTGGCTCTTTTTTTAGGCATGGGCGAATAGAGGATTTTGGGTCCGAATCGAATTTGAAGCGAATAGTGATTTTGGCCGAATAATTTTGAATCGAATACTTCGAATAGTACAAGCAAAAATATCACAAGATACGTTTAAACCATAGTTTTATATTTGCCTTACTTGGTATTAGAAGTACTCTAATTGTTAATTTTTTAAGTGTATTGAGTCCGGGAGCACGAAATGGTCAGAAGCTAGCGCCACCTGGCCGGAAATCCAAGGTAGAGTAAGTCAAACCCGTTTATATCAAACTCGCAAAACAACGTGTACCAGTTCAATATAGCGGGTAATTCGATATAAGGTTTTAATGAATCTGACTGTCAAAAATTTACTTTCTGCTGAAATATTACACAATGTAGTCTTGCATCTTCTGCTGCTTTTTCTTTATTTATTGCATCTGCAATAACGATATTTTTCTACGCTATCGACGGACTCCAAAATGCTGAGGCCGCAGCCTTCTATACTCGCGTATTAGCGCCGAACTATGCCGACAGCACGGAGCACATCCGAGCAGGAGCACCTTCTCTTGCAGAGTGGCGTTTCGCTCTGCAAGTTGGCTTTTCCCTAAGGAAGGTGGCTGCGTTGGGGGAAGCCAACTAAGAAAACAAGCTGGCTTTTGTTTTGTGTTTTTTCTCCCGGGCGGCCTTGTTAACCACTTGGAAGAAAAAAATAATATTCTGTTTTGCGGACGGATCGGGGAGAGGGAGCGTAGCGCACCCTCTCTCCGCAAAAGATCTTTTTTTCTTTTTTTTCCGGGCGGCCGACGCAGCCCTTCCCCCCTTCCCTTCCCTCCCCCCTCCCCTCCCCCCCCCCCCTTCCAAGAAAGCCAGCGTGCTTTGCAAGTTGGCTTTCCCCCAATGCGGTTGCTCTCGGTGGGGGAAAGCCAGCTTACAGAGCAAAGCGGCGCTCTTGGCAGTTCGATATATCGGTAGCGGCTGCTATTTTTGTTCGATGTAACTATAGTTTTTGCTATATATCAGGGGTGGCCAGGCTGACCCGGCCTAAGAGCCGCAAATCAAGCCACGAAACTTCTAAGAGCCGCGGGGGGGGGGGGGGGCAAACTTAAATTTTGTTTTTGAGTGTGACTGTACGTTTGGGGGCACAAGGCTATACGACTGTACATAGTACAGTCAGTACGTAGTACAGGCGGTACAAGGATGCCAAATCGTGAGCCGTGCTTTATTCTGAAATTCTTTCTTTTTTTCCTGGGGAAACGCGGAAAGGGGCGCGGGGGGGGGGTCCCTTACCAGGGATCCGCGAGCCGCACTTGAACCAGCAAAGAGCCGCATGCAGCTTGCGAGCCGCGGTTTGGCCGCCCCTGCTATATATTATCACTGTAACATAACTGTGCACAAAAATTGTTCGATATAAGGAATAATTCAATGTAAACGGGTTCAATATAGTCGGGATTGACTGTATTTAGAAAGGTTGAATCATTCTATATTGTCGAATACTTAAAGTCTGTTCGAAGTGAATGCGAATAGAATAGAATTCGATTGGCTATTCGTAATAACCGAATATTCACCCATCCCTACTTTTTTTACTTCCGGGCGGCCGCGTCGACCGCCCGGAGGAAAACCAAAAATTGTGGTGGCTTAGCTCGGCTATGCCAGGATATACGTAGCACGAGCTTATGCGCACAAAATGAGAGGCACCATCAAGCGGCTCCGGTGCAGCGTCAGGCTTGGCTACTGCGCAACGGAGGCGGACAGCTGGGCACGCAGCAGCACCAGTGCGTCTGCCGCGGCTATGACGTCACTCCTCTAGAATGTGCAGACCGGCAAGGTGCGCGCGGTGGCAGCGGAGAGCATGGCGGCGGTGTCTCCGGCGCACCAGCTGTGCGCCGTGCGACGTCACTGGTCCTCGCGCTTGCGCAGCACGGCTCTTTGGAAGCTACGCGAAACTGCTCAACCTTGGCCAAAGTAGCTCACGCTACAAAATTCTTTTTCGCGGAGAGATCGGGGAGAGGGTGAGCCGGTGGGCCTTAAAAACAAGAAACGACCACTCAACAGCCGCGTGGCGCATCCCTCATGACGTACAGACGCTCCTGTGAGAGTACACAACTTTTCTACATGTGGCGTCCATATTTGTTGTCAAATTCATTAGAACTTTTATATTGAATTACCCAATATATCGAACTGGTAGACGGGTTTTTGAGAGTTTGAGATAAACAGGTTTAACTGAACCAGCTTAATTAATATTGGTATTTCAGCGAAATATCCAGGTATCGAGTACCTGTATCAGACATAAATTCGGTTCTGTATCTTGCGTCGGTATCAGAAACACAATTTTTGAGGGAATCGGGTATCGGTATTTGAGACACTTTTTTTAAGTATAATGCCCAGCTTCGATTAACCCAGCACTTTGCTGATAACCAGTCTGGAACCTGACGGCTATGCTCCGTTTAACCTTACAATAGCCTGTCACGTGACCTTCAGTTGGCCTGCAGCTGCAAGTGGGATGCACAGACAAATGATACGCTCACAGAGCTGGATTGGTTCCGATGGCTAGTGTAGTTATGTGTGTGTGTCCGTGCGTGGTGTTTGTGTATATGTGTGTATTTATACATATATACACATATATATATACATACTGTCGAGACCGGTTATGACGAAGTGCAAAAGGGAATGGGAAATCGTGATCGCTTCACTGCGGCCGCTATTTTGTTATAACCGACTTCGTTATAACCGGTCTCGATTGTATGTATGTAGTATATAGTATATATATATATCAGGCATGTAGCCAGGATTTTGTTTCGGGGGGGGGGGGGGTTGCCTTTGACAAAATGCTGTATGAGGGGGAGGGGGGAGAGGAGGCCCCAGCAAAATGGGACTATTTCGGGAAGGGGCCCGGGCCCCATGGGCCTCCCCCCTGGCTACGTGCCCGATATATATGGTGTCCCCTGTGGTCTATGGTAAGGTGGAACGGGGTATTTGCTCTTTCTTGAGCAAGCTGAGACGTGGTGATGGCAGTGTGCAAAAAGCCCTTAAAGAAAAAAATGTATAAAAAAAAACTATATACGCGGACCGGAAGTGTGCTAGGGCTACCCAATAAACGGTGCCACTGAGTCTGTTGCCAAATAGAGAGCCAAATGGATCGGGGTCACATGGTTTACCGGCCGTGTTTGTACTGTGTTAAAAAAAAAACGAATAGAAGCACTCGCCTCTGTGTGGTGCAGGACCCTGACGAGTCCCAGGTCGACGAAGAACAGCTCCAGCTTAGCGGGGGATGGCCGGGACCGAATGAGGGCGCGTGCCCAGTCGCCCGCGATGCCCGGGAACGGGCAGCGGGCCACCGCGGCCTCCCCAGGCACTGGGTTGTTGAACTTCTTGGCGCTCTCCCCGGCCTTCTGCAGGCTCTCCAGCAAGGCGTCCAGGCCCTCGGGGAGGCAGCACCACACTTCCTTCGCAGAGGCCACCGAAACCACCTGCGGGTCGGCCAGAGACTCGTCCAAAGTGCTATGACAGCAGAGGTTAAGAATGAGAGTGGATCAATGGATTAGGATGCCTCAATGTCCTGTTTAGAATGAAGCCATCGTTTGTAGTACCCGATGCCAACAGCACATGCTCACAAAGAAAATTAACAAAAAATCGCCGAGAACAAAATGTTGCCGTAGCATGGTCAGCGCCACGAGCGCGTGCAGAGTCACACTCATTCATGCGATTTTTAACAAAAACTTTCAGCCTTTCCACTCTCGTGAAGAAGAAAGACCAGCGGAGCTGTACTATGTTGGGACGACCTCAAGGACGACTTTGAGGGCAACGTCTAAGACGAACTCGAGGACGACTTCTAGGACGACCTCAAGGACGACGTCTAGGATGGCCTCAAGGATTACTTCTAGGACAACCTCTCGAACGACGTATAGGATGACCTCAACGACGACATCTCGGACGACCTTGAGAACGACTTCTAAAATGACGCCTAGACAAATTCAGCCTTTCCACTCTGGTGTAAACCAAAGTGGAAAGGCTGGAAAGGTTGCTGCCGTCGCTTATAGATGGCGGTAGCTGTCCAGGGTTTTGTGTCGGGATTTATTCGTCCACGGATACAAAACTGGGGAAACTAGCCCTCCCCAACAGCTCCCTCCGCTGTAAAAAAGAAAAATGAGCGTTCGAAACAAGTGGCCAGATGTCATCAGCCCAAGCAAAGTGCACATGAAGGCACCATAGGATGGATGGACGGATACCACTGAACCTTTTTAATCTGGCAGCGGCTTGCGCCGCCTAGCAAAAGCCTCCGATTCCGGCAATTAACTGATCTCCAACTAAATTTTGATTTAATGAAGAAGGGCACAGAAACTCGTACCGCAGCCAAGCGCAAGTGTTCGTCTACAATTTTTGACAACCTAAAGTTACAATTCGTGTGACAATCATAGCCACATAGGAGGCGTCGCTGAATGCACTCGCACGCTGGCGCCGTCTATGGAATGGCCCTGGAACTGAGCTTCACTAGAGCGAACTTTCGCAGTACCTGCAAGATCAAATGTATGTGCAATCTACCACAAAATCCAGCAAGTACGCCCACCCAAAACGAAGAGATGTAAATGGTGAAAAACATAGGGTATGCTATCATTGAGGATGCAACAGCGTAACTTTACAAAACGCAGTGATAAAACATTGGGCCATCCCCTACAAACCACGTGAAGTGGGGACCGATGCCACGGATCGCGAACAAGTCAAATTTGCTATTCACGACCAAATAAAGATGCGGGGATTCGCCTACCAACTCTTGTGTCACGGTAAAAGATATCGTGAATTGCGGACGTAGCAGATTCACCTTTCACGCTGCGAAGAACATGTGGGACCCTGTCGTGGGAACCGATGCCGCAAATCGCAGATGCAGCAGATTTAAGCTTCAAAGTGCGGCAAACACGCGGGGAGAACTCGTGCGTCGCGGAAACCAATATCGCACGGCACAGATTGCATACAAATGCGCAAAACCGCCACAAACTCCCTCCTCACGCACATCGGTACCGGTATCGCATATTGTGCAGTGGATGAGACTCCCGTTGCAAATTGCGCGATGTCCGCAGGAATACTGGGGTGGGCGATGTTTTGAAATTTTCAAATTATACATATTTAGTCAGACAAATGGGATGGGCGATCCCTCGTACCGTACCGTCGTACCGTATGAGCCCTTACAGGATTTTACGGTACGAGAAACGGACGTTTGACACTTCCAAAAGCTCTTCGAGCCAACAAAGAGCCACACGCGTAAATAAACGGGCAATGTACAGGAATCTCGAGTGTGAGCCAGCCCATACCTGAGTTGCAGGTGCAGCTGTAACCACCTACAGGGTGGGAACAATAGGGACGTGTTTCGTTTGTCCCCAACACCTGGCTCGAGGGCTCCCCACCTTTGATGTCGGTTTGGTATCCTCAAAGGCAGGGGAGAGGTTCGCGAATATAAAAATCTGCGACGCCCAAGCGTCGCAAAGGACCAATACGCGCCGCGGATTTCAAGCGCCTTTGGGACGGCATCGGCGTTGCGCAATACTTCTGACATGGGCGAGGTCCCGTTCGCAGGCACAATCACCCTAAAGCCATGGTCACACCGCTAATACCTAACGTAAAAGACAGTAAGCAGATTGTCTGAGGCGCACCTCTCCCTTATACGACGCTCCTGTCAAAATGGTGTACAAAAACTGGCTGCAGAGACGTTTGAAGCACAGCACATACGTGTGAAGCGGACGTGCTTCAAACACGCACGATACACGTCTGCAGACGATCCTGTCATCGCGTCTGCTGCAAACACCGCACCTTTTGTGTCGTGAATGAGCAGTGTGACAAATGCCATCCATCCCACAAATGCCACCCGTTTGAGGGGGGGACACAGGCTCTGAAGACCGAAAAATCGCGAAAAGGTCGATTTTCAGAAAACCATATTTTGGGTAGTATATTTCATAAACTACCTTCTTCGTAATTACCAGCACCTAATACAATGTGGAAATATTTAAAAACAAATATTTCCGAGGGCTGGGTAGCGTCCGCGTGGCAGTCTAACACCAAAATCAACTCCAATTTTGCACGCATACCATTCCAGACGCCTTTGCCCGACGGCCACCATCTTGGTCTTGTTTTGGAGGTGAATTCTTTCTTTTCTTATCTGCCGGTTCCCAAAATGGCGTCGGCCATGCGGTTATGGTATGGTCGCCCTTCTTCCATGTTGCAATTGCAAGAACATGAGGGACAGAGCACGCTCTTGGTTGGTTGGGATGAGATTTCTTCGCTCGTGGAGCACCCTTCTCCTCTCTGTTCCGCCTGCTGTTGCCGCTCGCGTTGTCTGCTCTCGACAGTGGTCTGCTTGCTCGCGCTTTGTCAGCTCCCCTTCATTCTTTGCCATCTTTACGATCCTTTTCTGGACCTTCTTTGGTAGCGTGCCCGTCTATTTCAAGGTCGCACATGACGCGAGGTTCGAAGTATGAGACGGTGAGCGTATTTGGCACGCGGAAGCGACCCACGAGGTTACTGTGGATGGCAAAGCTGGAAGTTCCTGCACGGCGTGCCGTCAATTGTGATTGTGTCAACGTTTCTGGTGATGGATTTCCTGTGTCATCAGCTGTCGCCGAGGAAGAGTGCACCGCCCTGCTCACACGTGAAGTACCGAGCGTGTCAAACGCCGCAGTTCCTCTTGAGATCGTGGGTCCCCAGCGCTCGTCTTCCCCCTGCCACGACGAGTAGGAATGCGTCGTCTAGCATCCATATGTGGACAAGTTTCCTGACGCGCGAGGAGATAGAAGCAGAATCCAGACGTCGTGATATTGTTTGAGCAAAACTTGTGGAGCTATGCAAGCAGCTCAGAGGAAGTTGTAAACCATGCTGCCCGATCCCATGCATACTTGTGATACGAGCGAAGGTGCAAAGTTCTGCCTTGTTCAAATCGACGCTTTGAGCAACCTTCTCTGCAGCACAGTGTGTAAGTATTGCTTGGGAACTGGATGGACTGTCTTAGAAGGCACCAAACTTGAACTGGCAGCAAAACTCAAGGATGTATGCCCCCATTGCGGCATTCTTGCAAGTTCCTGGACTTTGTTACGCCAACGAGACTCGGGGGCCTTCGAAGTCAACGTCTGCTCCACCATGGCGATCAAGCAGATCGGAAAGGGGCAGACAGCTCTCAATGATTTTTGGGCAGCTATGAACGTCTCCCACAGAGGTTTCCACCACAAGACTTTCTGGGAGCACCTGAAAAAGACCTTCAGAGCAAGAAGACCTGTGTATGGACAAGTTTTATGCCAAGTCAGCAGTTGCTGTGAAGGCAGCCTGTCAGAAGATGGACCCGGGGTTGTTCAAGGATATCACTGCAGTGCACTACGGCACATGGCACAAGAGAGGGCACACATCTCACATCGGAGTTAGGTCAGTCATAAAATACCACACAGCCCTCATCTTGGACACCATAGTTTTGTCCGACCTGTGCCTTGGGGTGCCAAACAGGACCCAAGCCTGGAGATTGAGGGCATAACAGCTGGTGCATGCATCATGTCTGCCATAAGAAATCAGACGCCGAATCCGGGAGGGTGGAGGTCGAGGCAGGCCTGCGGAGACGGAGCGCTCTTCAAGCGCTCCGTCTCCAATCATGATTAGCAGTACACGGCCCTCGTCTCCAACAGGGACAGCAGGACCGTCTCTGCCCTTACAGAAGAGATTGGCTATGGGCTAGTCGCCATTGTGAAAGATGAGTGTTTGAACCAAGATGATGGGAACGACACTCTGCAACCTTGTCCAGAAGAGCCACAATCCTTTGAGCGTTAAGGGCAGGTTGATGAAGGCCCTCATCAACAAGCTCACTGACTACTATGGCTGGTCCCTCCGAAAAAACTCTAAGGCCGTGGCAGCGAAGCAGCGTGCTGCTATGGCCACCTACCATCATGTCACGTCGATTGACCAGGAGCCTCACCATGAACTCTGCCCGGAGGGAGCTAAATCATGGTGCCATCATAGAGTTGCCAAAGCAAAACGTGATCCACAGACCCAGCACAAGCACAAACTCCCAGACTATGTCGCTACAGCTATGATGCTCGTCTATCAAAGCCTGTCGCAGGTTTCTCTCCTTCAACCCTGCTTGGGAGCAAAGACTCAGAATGCATCCGAGTCTTTCACTCGGTTCTGTGGTCTTTGATGCCTAAGGAACAGCATGCATCGCTGATCGCTGCCGAAACTGCACTGTATGAAGCGGTGTTGCGGTTCAGCGCCAGCTGCTACAGGGCAACAGCAGAAATCTCGGCTGCAGTGGGACTCCAGTTGGTCCATCTAGCCTTCCAGCAAGCTGCCCAAAAAGATGCCCTATGCCTGCACAAGGCCAGCAAACAACATCAAGAAAAGTTGGATAGGCGGAACAAGAAGAAAGTGCTCAAGAACTATTCGAACTACTCTGCACGATCGTTCTCAAGCTGAAAATCTGTGTGCAACTTGTGCTAAAAATTTTCAACAAAGAAATTTAAAGAAAGGGCTCTGTTATTCCCAGGGGAACCTTCAGGGGTCACCATAACAAATTTTATACTGCCACTACCTTTTTCAAATTATCCAGGCCTGGGATAAGGAACGGATATGGATGATTTTGATAAATATTTAACTTGAGAAATAATATGCACAGCTCCATGAAACTTTGCAACTACCGCAGAGTTTCAAAAGAACACTCACCCAAAATGAAAAGATAAATGGTGAAAACCAGTTAACCATGAAAAGAAATCAGGTGGACCATCTTTGGGGATGCCAGAGCAAAAATTAATGATAAACACCCAGGCATTGGCTACAAACCATGTGACACGGGAACCGATACCGCAGATCGCGGACATCACACTTCGCGTTTTACGAGATAAACACGAGGGAATTTGCTACAAACTCCTGTTTAACGGGAAAGGACACTGCAGGTTGCGGATTCAGGAGATTCGCATTTCACGGTGCAAAGGACCCGCGGAAACCCGCAGAGAACTCCCATCTCACGGGAACGAATACCGCAAATCGTGGATGCCGCAGATTCAAGTTTTATGGCGCAATAAACACACCGGAACCTGCTACGAACATGCCAGTCATGGGAACCAATATTGCGTGCACAGATCGCAGACAAAAATGCAAGAATCCGCTTTAAACTCTCATGTTCCGGGAACAAATATTGCATATCGCAAAAGCAGCATATTCGTATTTCACGATGCAATACAGTCAAACCCACTTATAACGAACGTGATAGTTCCGCGAAAAGTGGTCGTTTTATCAGTAGTTTGTTATATCTGGACTTCCCTTTAAAACGTTATAAATAAGGAAAATGAAGCTGGTATTGGTAGTTTCACTCTGTCAGCTCTTTATTTAAAGAAACTGTTTGCAAGATTCTGACGGGTCCCAATTCTAACGCGATTGCAGATTTAGGTTTCCGATAAATAAAAAGTAAATTGCTGCCGATTCTACTGCACAAGTAAAATAATGAATATTGACCACATACCTCATAGAACAGATTTTATGAAACGCACTCCACCACAAAAATAAATGCCGAGCACTAGCCCCACGATGGTTCTTCACTGTCTACAGAGATAATTAATACTTGCTTTGGTCTAAAACCTTTTAAGTGCCGTGCTTCTTGCGCATGTACGAGTGCGCGGCCGTCGCTTCTGGCAGGGTCGTCTTTCAAACACCACTTTGCGAGCTTGTCGGGTGGCTGGGATCGCGAGCCACGCAGTGCTGCTCCGTTGTCATCTTTTTCCGCCAGCGTGATGCCCTTTCGTTTAAGTGAAGCCTCTTGGTGGATTTTTTTTTTTTTCCCCCATCTTAAAATGACAGACACGAGTCCGTAGACGCGCGAGAATGTGCATGATACCAAAATGGCGAACGTAAACAAACTGTAACAATGGCGATGGGGCTAGCCAACTTGTACAGAGCTTTGAGCTCTTCTTGAGCTGCATACAGTTTGCATAGAACTAACGCGAACAAACGAACGCAGCACGGCAGGAGAGTTGACCCTCGTCCTCTTCTCCTTCCCGCGCGCGCACAATGAGCAGACTACGCGACCCGAGAGGATGTTTTTGCTTTTGTGCTTTTGTTTTCTCCCCTGCCGGCGATGCTGTGAAAATGACCTTGAGCGTCTCGCGTTTTCGCCGCGCCCGAGATCTCTCTTAATCTTTTTTTTTTTTTTTTTCTTTCTTTTCTTTTTGTTTTTGTTTTTTGCGCGCGGGTTATTATTATTTTTTTTTCTCTCTTTCGAAAGCAGACTTTGTGTTCGTTGTAACAGCATGATGCTTTAAAAAACGGTCGTTTTATCTGGACCAATTTTAATGGGCAGGGCCTTGAATTCGTATATTTTCTGAAAGTTGGTCGTTATAACCGATAGGTCCTTACATGTGGGATCGTTATAAGTGGGTTTGACTGTATAAACGCAGGACCAACCTGTGTGAAATTGTGATTGCGTGCACAGATCGCGGACAAAAAACGCGGGAATCTGCTACAAGCTACGTCACAGGAACGGATACCGCAGATTGTGGATGCTTTGCATTTCATGGTGCAACATACACGCTCGAACAACTCGTGTGTTACGGGTGCCGAAACGCACACACCGATTGTGGACAAAATGCGGGCACCCGCTATGAACTCACTTGTCAGACGTGCCGGTACAGCGAATTGTGCAGTTGATCTGATTTCCGTCGGCCATCGCGTGACGTCCGATGGGAATCGAGGAGTAGGCAATGTTTTAAAATTTTTATATTATAGATATTTAGCCAGAAAAAACGGGATGGGCAATCTCTCGGGGCGGACATTCTCTCGGAACTTTAGGGTACTCTCATATCTGTGTTATAAACACACCCAAAATTTACAGGGTGTGTTTATAACACAGGCATAAGCGTAACCACAAAGTTTCATGGAGCTGTGCATATTATTTTCTTAAGTTAGAAATATTTACCAAAATCGTCCATATCCGTTCCTTATCCCAGGCCTGGAGAATTTGAAAAAGGCTGTAGCTGTATAAAGTTTGTTATGGTGACCCCTGGATAGGTTCCCCACGGCATAAGAGAGCCATTTTTTTAAATTTCCTCGTTGAAAAATTTTAGCACAACTTTGAATTTTATGTAGTCGATAAAAACTTGCATTGATCAAATTTAATTTTTTTATTATAATTTATAAACTTATAACACCGCTTTCTAAAAAAAGGGCTCTGGTATGCTCTCACAAAGCTGTATAGGAACAGAATAAAAAAAGACAGCACGAAAATCCATTGAGCAGTTCCCGACATATCGCTGGGACGAGCAGCCATGGCAGTGAAGAAACCCATTCTGAGAAAATAGCACTTGAAAGTTGCACACAGATCTTAGTCTTTAGAACGACCCTGCAGAGTAGTCCTAAGTGTTCTTGAGCACTTGCTTCTTGTTACGCCTATCCAACTTATCTTGATGTCGCTTGCTGGCCTGATGCCCTCCTTGAGCGTCAAAAAATGCATCCGCAATTGGGTGCTGGACGACGCGCTCCCACTCGTCGTGGCAGGCGGAAGACGAGCACTGGGACCTGTGATCTCGGGAGAAATCAGAGCAGTCGACACGCTCGGTACTCTACGCTAGGCAGGGCGATGCATTCTTCTTCGATGACAGCCGATGGCACAGGAAATCCATCACTGGAAGTGTTGACACAATCACCCTTGACGGCACGCTGCACAGAAACTTCCAGCTTCGCCATCTGTGGTAACCTCATGGGCTGCTTCCGCACGCCAAACGCGTGCACCGTCTCGTACTCTGAACGTCGCATCGTTTGCGACCCGGAAACAGATGGGCATGCTGCACGAAAATACTCAAAGGTCCATGAAACAATCGTAAAGATGGAACTGACAAAGCGAGAGCATGAGCAAGCAGACCACTGCCGAGAGCAGACGACGCGAGCGGCAACAGCAGAAGGAAGAGAGAGGAGGAGAGTTCTCTGCGAGCGGAGAAATTGCGTCATGGTTAATCGAGAGCACGCTCTATCCAATCACTTTCTCGCAATCGCAACATGGAAGAATGGCAACCACGCAGTAACCACGCAGCCAATGCTATTTTGGGGGCAGGAAAATAATAGAAAAAGAATTCCCCTTCAAAGCAAGACCAAGATGGCGTCTGCCATCCGAACGCGTCGGGAATGGTGAGAGCGTAGAGTTGGGGTTGATTCTGACGTTTGACCGTCACTTGGACGCTACCCAGCCTCGTAAATATTTGTTTTTAAATATTTCCTCCTTGTATTAGGTGCTGATAATTACAAACAAGGTAGTTTATGAGATATACAACCCAAAAACATGGTTTTCTAAAAATCAACTTTTTCGCATTCTTCTGGTTTTCAAAGTTGGCGTCCCCCCTTGAAACAAAGGAATGATGAATCCCCTCACCTTCACGTCGACAAACTGGCCCTGCTGGAAGGAGAACTCGGCGGGCGAGATGACGGCCCGCAGCTTGGACCCCAAGCTGGCCTCCGAGGCCGAGCCCCCTTCGTCTTTTGCGCGCACCGCTTTGGCGAGCCCCGCGGACACGAGCGCATCCACCAGGCTGACTTCCGACCTGCCCCCGGTGCGCTCTAGGTTGACCACGTGAACGCCGTCGCGCTGCGCCACCAGGCGGCACCACAGTGGCCCTACGAGTAAAGCCCTCCCCTCGTGTTAGAGCCACATCTCTTTTGGTCATCCATTCTTTCGTACAATTCATACGATTCTACGAGCCCCGTTTTTTAATTCCACCTTTATTTTATGAAATCCAAAAATTCCCACATCCTGAAACTTCATCGAAGTTTCAGGATGTGGGTTTTTTGAGTCGAGAAGAAAATGCAACAAATCCTTTCCTTTCACACTGTAAAGAGAGGTAAGGGCTCTACTTTGGTCCCACACATGATGTAGAAGCAGAATGTTCATGCAAATAACTTGCCAATTTTCAGACTTTCAAGCCCACCTCTTTAAACCCATAACAAAACAATAAAAAAAAATGCCCTAGTGCTTTTTTTTAAACAAGATGCAAAAAAAAAAAAAAAAAAAGAAACACTAGCAGACGGATGTTGTTGAATCTACCAAGTGTACGAAAACGAGACTTGCAAGGAAGTGTGGTTTGCACGTCAGGTCCTCACCTTCAAAGATGCTCTGCAGCGGGCCTCCTGCCTCTGCCGGGGGCCAGGGGGCTGCAGATCCTCCGGGGGGGTCCACCCCGCGCAGTCGGCAGCGGATCGCTTGGGCCGGCAGCTCCGCGAAGCGGGGCAGGAGCTGCGAATCGAGACGAGCATAAATTCCACCTTGACAACTAGTTAATCTGGTGAAAATATTTTACCACTGACATTCCTTAAACTTTAAAAGAAACCCATTAAGAGGGCGAGGTACCTCTATTCTCTATTTATTCATCCGTTTCAGACACCAGATGGCGCGCAGCTTGTCACGTGGTTGAACGTGAGACTTCTAAATGGCGCCAATATCGAAAAGTGAAAAGGTCCGCGTTATCCGCTGCGTGAAATAGATCCCCGAAACGTGTCGTGTGACGCTCCTCTCCAACAAAAAATGCCCCCCCCCCCCCCCCCCCCCCCCCCCCCCCGCACGCGTTTGGTATGTCTTGTCAGTCAGCTCAGTGTGCATTGCAGCGAACGTCAGTGATAAAACGAGCGGTGGCCGAGTCCGGCCTCTGCGCTGTGTGATGAAGTGGGTGGCACTCGTTTCTGTTCGGAGGTAGGAATATAAATGTCGGTCCCCTTTTTACGACGGTTGCTTGGGTTTTTATCTCAAGTGACAAACAGTACTGTCTTTTCGAAATCATACTTTGAGGCGAACGATTGAGTGTCAAGTTAGCATTTTATTTTTGGTCAGCACTACACGCTCAATGAAGACCTCGGGCGGCGATGTAAAAATATGTTACTCCCCAAAGTGTGTCCAAGGTGCACAGTGACAATTGGAAATGGTATTGAAGGCGCTCGACCGTCGGTTCGTAAAATACGTGCGTTAGATTCCCTTATTCAGTGTAATCATTTTTGCCAACGTATTTTATCTGTTTCGACAAATGACAAGGTCGAGTCTATTGATAACCTTAGGTAGAGTGAACGTACGGAGTGTCTGGGCTTTATATAAATTTGCTTCGTTTACGTGAATTAAAAACTGTTTTCTCTTTTCCCGTGCTCGGTGCTATGCAAAAATTGCTTAGATGTTATAGCAGTGATATTGTAGTGAGTGCGCAGGCGAGCTGGTGGAAATTAACCATTCTGATGTTAGCCTGAGACTGAGGCAGGAAAAGAGGAAGTTTCAAAGTAGAAGAAAAAGGAACAGTCGAGGATACGTCTCTAACACAGCTAAAGACAAGTTTATTTCGGTCACCCTCTTATATACACTCCACAATCTTCACCACAGAACCTTCGCGACCTCCAAAGCCAAAAGATAACAAAGAACTCATCTCTTTCCACCACAATAATCAAACGACCTTGACAATCCTACAAAGCCCCCCCCCCCCCCCCCCCCCCCCCCCGGCCTCACCAACACAACCTAGCTCCTCTCTCCCGGAAGACGATCGACCTTCGCGTACATAGCACACCCTCCTCCTCTCCTCCCTGGCCCACAATCCCGAAACAACCCGGCAACAAAAGATACCAATCCGCCTGATCCCAAACCAAAGACACAAAGGAGGAAACCACTTACACCCCTTTCACAATCAACAACCACTTAACAAAACTCTCAAATCCGCAAGAAGGTTTTTGCACTGCTGCTAAGCTGTAACGACACTTGACTAATGCAGTTGCCCATCGATTTCATTCTTATTGTTTCCTTTACAACCCTTTTGATGTCGTTTACTTCCCTGTGGATTATTTCTGTTTCGGACCAGCGTGGTATACAATTATTACATTCTTGAACATGTTTCGCTATTTCCGAATCAGTCGCGTTGTTTTTGACATTTCTTTTGTGTTCAGTCAATCTATCATTTATACACCTCGACGTTTGACCCACATACTTAAAACCACATTCCAGGGGAATTTCGTATACCACTCCATTATCACACGGAATAGACTTTTCTCGATGCATTTTTGTGCATTCCCTTACACTCTTGTGGAAGGGCGTGAGCTTACTAAATTTATAGTCGGAACTAAAAACCAGATCAACATCGAACTTTTTTGCACAAGCCTTCAAGTTGTGAGAAATTTTGTGATAGTACGGAATTACAGTAGTTCTATGCTTTGGCCTTTGCTTTGGTTCTGCTCTACATTTGTCTGCGAATTTTACGGATAACTGTTTCCCTACGAATTCATCCTGATAACCAGCACTGTTTAGCCTTCTCCACTGCCTTTTCACTGATTCAGCCAAGAAATGAGTACATGATCTGTCCATTGCATTTGTGATTAAAGACTTGACAATACCTGCTTTGACTGTTTTTGAATGGCAACTGTTTTTTGATAGCAGCGGTTTTACGTTTTCTTTTCCATATTCCCAACATAGCCCTTTTTCATTGTGAATCATAAGCTCTAAAAACTGCAGTTTACCATTCATGGGTCGTTCGACTGTAAACCTCAGTTCCGGGGCAGCCGATCTGGTCAATGCTTCCAGAGTGTCAGATAATCCCTCCCGAAAAGAACAGATCAAAATGTCATCGACATATCTTTTCACAAAACAGGATTCGGACGTCAGTTCTTGCAACTTATCAGATACAATGCAATCCAAAGAATTTAGGTAAATTTCCGCTAACGCCGGTGCTACACTCGACCCAATGCATACTCCCTCTTTCTGTAAATACTTTTTTCCT